TCTTTTCCACTTCTAGGAATTAATCCTCTAGATGCAGCACTTCACACTAAAAAGGTCTAAAGCAGTGGTGGTAAACCTATGGCATGGGTGCTGCAGCTGGCACACCAAGCTCTCTGCTGGCATGTGAGCCAAGTTGCCCCAAACTTGAAAGTGGGCAGCCGAAATATTTTCCAAATCTAAAACTGCATTTAAAAATTCTGAAACATTTGCAGACAATCCTACAAGCCATGAGAAAATCTACATGGAATTTTCTATCATTGTAGCAGCTGCAAAGGAGAATTTTTATAACAGATTTCTATAGATATATAAGATGGAGACAACCCTATATTTCCTTACTTCTCCAGATAAAGCCAAATTTGAAGAACTTGATCTTTCCTGTTTACACTGGTTAGATTTTGGAAATCTGGAAATGGAGCTGTTGGAATTTCAAAAAAGTTCTATCTGGAAAAATAAATTCCATGATCTGCATGCAACACTTGAGACACTAGAAAAGGTAAGAGTGCAAAGGGGTGACAAAGGGCAGCACAGTTGGTAGTTCTGAAAATGAAATCCTTAAAGTCTGGAGTTCTCTACCAAGTAATTTTAACAGAAGCACTTGGGATTACTCTTCTTACTTTGTTTAGATCATCTTATGCTTGTGAGCAGCTGTTTTCAGCTTTGAATTACATTAAATCTGATACAAGAAACAGCCTAACAGATGACCTGACTGCTGCATATGTTGCTCTCAATCTAACAAAGTGTAAGCCAGGGTTCGACAAATTATCGGCATGCATTCAACAGCAAAGATCACATTAATGTGCAAAGCATGGCAAATGCAAACTTCTACTTTTCAATAAAAAGCTGTTTCTATCATTGAAAGCTCTGTTATTGTGTTTTTTCCTTTGACAAAAGATGTTAATGAATGAGTTGTTTTTTCTAAACTAAACCCTCAGTATTCAGGTTTAATTGCAGTATTGGCATTTTGCAACAAATAAGGGGGTTTTGGGTTGCAGTTTGGGCACTCAGTCTCTAAAAAGTTTGCCATCACTAGTCTAGAGGCTGGGCAAGATGATGCACACCTGTAATCCCAGCACTTTGGAGGGCGAGGCAGGAGGATTGCTGTGAATTCAAGGCCAACATGAACTACAAAGCGAGACTGTCTCAGAAAAACAAAGTAAATAAATAAATAAATTTTTTAAAAGTTTATAAACAATGACCAGCCCAGTAGCAACAAGCATGTCTACAGCCCAGACTGTGGTCTACAAATGCTTCTTTGTTACTACAATAAAAACAACAGAGGACTGGGGATTTAACTCAGTGGGGCCATGTCTCCCTTGCAAGCGCAGGTCCTGAGTTCAATCCCCAGTACTGGAAAACAAAACAAAACAAAACCCAGAAGCATAGGGATGAACCTATGAACCATTTGAAAGTTCTCCATAATAGGAAAGCTCTTCTACTTCTAGAGGCTGCACACATTTCCTGGCTTGTGATCCCTTTCCATCTTGGAAGCACGTCAGGATCAGTTGAAGCGTCTCATATTATAGTACTGCACTAACTCTCCTGCCTTCTGCTTCTACTGGTAATGATTCCTGTGATTGCACTGGGCCCACCTGGGTGAACTAGGATAGTCTCCCAATCATAAAACAGGCTGATTAGCAACCCTAACTCCCTCTGACATATAAACTAGCATAATCACAGGTCCTGGGGATGTCTTTGGGGTGCCATTATTCTGCCTCCTATAGCAGCCTATCTTTACTTCCATCTAAACAGTTTTACCTAAAACAGGCATGATGGTATACACCTGTCAGTCCAGCATGCAGAAGACTGAGGCAGGAGGATCATAAGTTCAAGGCCAGCCTGGGTTATATAGTGACACTCTAACAAAGAAGAAAAAAGTCAAGATATAACACTTTTGAATCTGAGTGTGATGCTTATCTCAGGAAACTGTATCTTCAACTATAAGTAATCATTTGCAAAACATGGAGTCTGTGGTTTTCCTTTTAAGCAATTTTTTAAAAGCTTATTTGTAATAACAGCTAACACTATATATCTTATTTAGTTGTCAAAACAGCCCTACCACAATATCCAGTAAGGTGACCCCAGCAGTAATTACTAATCTGTGTTCAATTTGTGTACATTTTTGTATTAATTCCATCAGATGACCTCTAGAAGAAATCTAAAACTACCATGAGTTGAGCTTGAATAATGGAGAGATGCTCCAAATAATGGAAAATTAAGAAAGGGTAGCTCACTTTTTGCAAAATTACAACTTTCAGAGAAATTTTTTTTAAAGGCATTTTCCTAGGGCTGGAGATGTAGCTCAGCAGGACAGTGTTCACTTAACACATGTGAGGACTTGGGTTTGATTGCAAGCACATAAATACATTAAAATATATATATATATATATACACACACACACACACACAAAATAAACAGAAAGAGAAAAAGAAAGAATGAATGAACGAACAAACTTGCCTGATACTGATAATACACACACACACATACATGGAGAGTTACACTCAAGCACTTTTTTTGGTACTGGGGATCGAACTCACAACCTTGCGCTTACAAGGCAGGCATGGTGCCACTGAACTAAATCCCCGGCCCCACTCATAAGCAATTTAATAAAAGAAAATTAAAAGTGTATATCACTTCATATTTGCTAACCTACTATTAAATGGCTTCCAACTAAATTACAGTACTGTATTTGTGATGCAACATCCTGCCTTCAGGAATTGCGGCTTATTCCCCCACATGCTGGGAGTCCTGGCTTTTGGAAGAATGTCCTCCACTATCTGCCCTCTTATGGGGTTGCCTCCTATGGAAAAAAGCATCTTAACAAGGATGCCCCCCACCCCAGCCCTGCCAGACTCATGACAGATGATCACAAAGGTATGAAGACCAAGCTGCTCATATGATTGAGGAGAGACTCTGAAGGGACATCACATCTCAGAGCTCCCAAGGGGGACAAGTGAAATCTTGTTGAAACCAATACACCCCACCTTTTCCCTCTACCTAGTCCTGCCTCCTCCTCTCCCCTTCCCTGCTCTAAGTATTGGTCCCAAAGTACTTCCTAATGAACTTTATGAACATTAAATCTCCTGAATATAAATCTCCACCTTGGTCTGTTTCTCAAAGAACTTGGGCATTGCAAATTTCCAAGTACTACACATCGCCCCACTACTTGCAGATGGCAATGTGGCAGTATTTATCTAGAATCTGAGAAGATTCATTTTCTTGAGCGGCAATGGAAAAGAAAGGGCTCTGAGGCATACGGTCAAATCTCTACTCTGCTATATGGAACCTTTGAGACTTGACACCTGGTCTCCTCGCTTGAACACCTGGGACTGGCCTGGGGATGTAGCCCAGTGGCAGAGTCCTTGCTCAGTGTGTGTAAAGCCCTGGGTTAAAGCCTCAGTAACAGAGAGTGAGAGACAGAGAGAGAGAGAGAGAGAAAGAGACAGAGACAGAGAGAGACAGAGACAGTAGTAACATCTATATCTTAGGGTTATTACTGTAGTATTGAAAGAAGAAACCATTCATGGAAGTACCACCACTGCCAGGTGTAGTGGTACACGCCTATAATCTCAGCTCTCTAGGAGGCTGAGCCAAGAGGATCACAAGTTTGAGCCCAGATTAGGTAACTCAGCGACCCAGCAAGACCTTGTCTCAAAATAAAAAATAAAAATAAAAAGGGCTAGGGATGTAGCTCAGTTGAAAGGTCCCAGGTTTAATAGAAGGGAAGGAAGGGAGAGAAAAGGAGGGACATAGGGAGGACCTGCCACACACCATTATTCCTTTCTCTTTCCATTTGCAAATAATCCTACTCAAACGGGGATGTGGGGGGGGGTGGGACCTTCCATATTACAGTACATACCTGTTGAGGACTTCCATGGTGACCTCCATGAAGGCAGAGTGGCGTCTTTTAGCACAGTGGTGGTCCTCGTCCCCCCCATGAATGCTAGGGAGCTAAACTCAGGGAGCTGTGTATGCTAGACAAGTGCTCTTCCACTGAACTATTACCCCCATGCTGGCGGGCTTCTAAAAATACAAATTGCTGGGCCCCACTCCCAGAGTGTCTGATTTAGTAAATCTGGATGAAGGCCCAAAACTATGTGTTTCTAACTACATGATGCTGACATGGGCCAGGAGCCACACACTGAGTCCCTCTGTACCTACTCAGTACCTTATAGAAAATACTGAAATACTCATTGACTCAGACATATGAGTAATTTGACTATGTTGTTATTCACAAAAGTAAAAAACTAGAAATTAATGTCCAAAATTGGGAAATGGTTAAACTATTCTATACTAAATGTAACCACTCAGAAACCTAAGTAAAATAATGTTACAGAAACATAGATAAGTATACACTAACTTAACTAAAAAAGGTAAAATATTGCATGTATTATCAATTTATACTGTATTAAATACATGCAAATATAGACTAATAAAAAGATTTTTTAAAAATCACAAGTGTGAGCCTAGCAAGGGCAACTTAATAAGATCTTGTCTCAAAAAATTTAAAAAGTACTCTGCAGATGTAATTCAGTGCAACAGCCTTAGGTTCAATTCCTAACAACACATAAACACACACACACACACACACACACACACAGAGCTTGGGAATGTAGTTCAGTGATAGAGCATTCGGTCCTGGGTTCAATCCACAGTACCACATAAGCACTATTGAGAAGCCTGCTGCAAAATGCACACATATATAAACACAGAGCACCATAACTCACCTGCCACAGGAGGGACAAGGCCAGAAAAACACACGGTTGCATGTTCTCCATTAACTTCAACTCTTCGACCAATGACATCTGATGGTAAACTGTCACTCATTATAAGATAGCCGGAATCCAAATGCAGATCTAGAGAAAAAAAATCACAATACTGACAAGAACTTAGTAAAACTTCTTTAAAAGTTTATGTTTTGTTTTTGAGATGAGAATCTACTATGTTGTTCAAGCTGGTCTCAAATTCCCAGGCTCAGCTGGTCTTCCCACCTCAGCCTCCTGAGTGCTAGGAATACAAATGTGGGATATTGCAACTGGTTGACAAATTTTTTAAAAAACCTTCCATCTTCCTGTACAGATTCAGTAGGTGATTCTGAACAATTCAGAACTCATACTTTGGTAGAGAAGAACCTATTATGTTTATGCTTCATATTTTCATAATTTAATGTTACTCTACCTGTATATTGATAATCTAGTATTTTTAAATTCTTGTTTCACTTCAGGTAGTTCACATCACATGACTGGTCCATCTCATCTATTTATTTATTTATTTATTTATTTAGGTACCGGGGCTCAAACTCAGGTCCTTGCACTTGCGTAGCAGGCAACGAAACCACTGAGCTAAATGCCCGGCCCTTTTTATTTATTTTTTTGGCTTTGTTTTTGGTACTGTGGATTGAAATCGGGTCCCTCTGCTTGTGAGGCAGGCGGCAGAACCACTGAGCTAAATCTCCAGCCACTGGCTTTGTTTTTTGGGGACAGGGTCTTGCTATCAGGCTGGCCTTATACTCACTATGTTGTCCCAGATGGCCTTGAACTCTCACTTCGATATTCTTGCCTCAGCCCCCCAAGTGCTGGGATTAGAGGAATGTGCCACCCCACCTGGTCACCCCAAAATTTATTGAAAGGACAAGGAAAGGGAAACAGAGAGAGGAAAAAAGTAACAGAAAAAGGAGAAAGGAGACAGTGGACACTATCTGGACACTGCTCTCTTTCTCAGGCACAGGAAGCATTACACACAACGCATGATAAAATACTGAATTCTCTAGTGTAAAACACAGAACCCAAGAGAAGGTCTGTTTTAGTCAGGAGTTTGGCAAAGGGAATACATTTAATACATAGTTTATAGGATTATTTTATAAGGTTTACCCAAAAAGTCAAATACAGAGGAGTATCAGAGATTAACCAAACACTAGAGGCCCAAAGAATCCAGCCAAGGGCCTGGATCCCACAGCAATGTCTCGTGCTTGTCCATATTGAGGATATGCACCTGGAAGGCCCAAAGGCCAGTGGTGGAATTCAGAATACCTATGACAGTGGGAGGAAGTTTTGTACTACCAGGCTGAGGAATCTACACTAGAGCCAGAAAGTGATCCTCACAGTGAAGATCAGAGCTCCCCTGATGAGAGCAGCAGCCATTCCCAGCAACAAGGAGGCCCCATACTCCTCTTCCATGAACAGCCAAGTTCACAACAGGAAAACCAGCCGAAGCAAGCTTCTCTTGGAAAATCAACAGCCCACGATCTTTCCCTCCAGGTCTCTTTTTATGGCTATTGGTTACAATCCTCAAGTGGATCTTCCATGCCAAGACCATGCTGATTCAGTTCAGCTGGGCATTACAAGTTGACCATTAGTCAGTCCACCACATGGTCTTAATGGTACCTGAAAGAAAAGTATCATCTATGCAGGAATGGTAACTGGATCTAACTTCCATTTCACAGGAAAGTAAGGAGCTGAGGAATGTGTCAAATGACACCACTGGGGTGTGGCCAGCCTAATCAGGTAGTGGGAAACCATGGGACAAACAAGGTGGTTTCTTCAACAAATGAAATGTAAGGAGAAAAACAGAGAGATGGAGGGAAAACAGAGATTAAGTAAATTTAAGAGCAATGTCAACCAATACACGAGACTTATTTGGATCTTAATTTTTTTTTTTGGTACCAGGGATCGAACTCGGATCTTAATTTTTTTAAAAATATGGAATTTCATGAATTTGCGTATCATCTTGTGCAAGGGTGATGCTAATCTTCTCTGTATTGTTCCAATTTTAGTATAAGTGCTGTTGAAGCAAGCACTCGATTTTAATTTTTTAAAAACCTGCAAATAATTCTTAAAACAGAAAAAAGAGAAAATTGAAAATTTGAATATACTGGATATATGACTGTAGGGAACAGGGGAAGGGGACGTTACCAGAACCTCTGCAGTAAGTCCTAGTCTCCTGTTGTGGAGCCAGAGTGACTCCATTTTGGAGCTGTCTCCTTTGTTCTCTCAGAGTGACTCCATTTTGGAGCTGTCTCCTTTGTTCTCTCAAATTTGTGCTTATCCACTCAAAATTCCTAAGTTTATTACCCAGCCATCTGTGTACTCAGGAAGGACATTCCGGACACACTACCTATAAGGTAAACAGTTAATGGCTAACTGCCCGCAAAAGATAGATGTGACCATTAGTCAGTGGACCTGCTAACCATCAGCTTATGACAGTCGACCACTAACCTTTGCCCCCTTCTCCCTTGCAAAAATCTATACGTAACCCCCTTAACCCCCCCCCGAGCCTAACCAATCAAAACCCTACACTTCATATGTATTTAGCATTAACC